TGCAAGGGCTACTGACGGTCCTGACTGTGAATATAGAGCTAGTTTTGACGTGAAGCAATTTGGCGTCGCTCTGGAGGTGATAATCAGAGATGGAAAGCTTGCAGAGGAGCGGAGTCGAACCACAAAGTCCTCCCAGCTCTAGTCCACCTCGCTGCGGAATACAGGATGCTACCTGGCTATGAAATCCCCACCCTTTCTTCGGCACTACCACTGACAGTACCTCAATTCTGAGCGAAAATCACGTTGTTTTCGACATCATCTTCATTAGTACCCTTCAATATGCAGGCAGGGTCGGTCCTATCGTTGTTACTTTTCGAAAATTTTTACGACCCCCCTCCCCCAAGGTGGATTTGATACGACCCCCTTTTCCCTACCTCCACCATCTCCATCTTCCATCAAAACCCCGCCCACTTTTTCCTCCAAAAATGCCGTCGAGCGGGGGGGTATATAGTCACTCTGAAACAGGTAAAAATTTACCAAAATTTCCTCATCTCATGCAACTTCTCACAACTGAAACAAGTACGACCCCCCGTTGGTACTTGTACCAACGTAGGGTTGACCCTGTATGCAGGCTGTCTTTTCCACAAGCCCGAAACGTCACTCCAAGGCAGTGAAAACCACCCATTCTTACAAAATTTTTCGACCTTTTTTGAGCCTTCAGAGGGCCGCTCAGCGAAAATGAAACACAGTATTGTGGTCGCGTGAGAGCCTCCTACAGCATGCAAAAAACCGTGTTCAAAAAGCGCTACGAAGTGCTGCAAAGTTCACTTGAAATGTAAAAGTCCACTTCTTAAGGAAAATCTGGCATCCACTTTCCTGGCAATCTCAAGGCCACTCAGGAAAGATTGATCATTAGTTCTACGCTTTATGCACGTACCGTATAACATGTAAACTGAACGTGAACTCTTTTTGAAAACAAAAGCGCTCCTGAAGGGGGAATTTTCCCATTCCTAGGGTGACTAGGGCGGAGATGTTGGCTGCATGGACTCTCTGACGAGGCAGCGCCCTCTTTCATGCAGTTGTGAGCCACTGTCCCATCGGTTCTCGCTTTATTCCTAGGTTACTTCATCGACTTCATTGAATCAAGTGACGCTTCTCATCTGCATAGTTCCTCAGTGTGACTCGTTTCGATTTTCAGCTTTCTAAATTGAAGCTGACCAGAGGAAAACTTGTACCAAAAAAAGGACATCAACAAAGATTAAACTTTATTTTCAATTATGAGATTTTTTTGTCTATTAACAATATAGCCAGTTCTGCGTTTTCCACATTATGGCAAGAGGTTCCCTGCCGTATCGTCTTCATTCAACCATTTATTCCTGAGGTGTACGATCAGGTATATTAGGCAGAACGCCATGATCAAGTTGGCTGAAAATTGAACTGTGAACGCGCGAGGATTAAGCCTTGTCCATCACTAACTTTTGGCCTTCCATGTATATAAACTAAATTCAGAGGATTCAGTTCGTCATGAAAATGCCACGTCAGATATTAATACGATGTGTAACTCACTGCG